ATTGACAACCTCAAAGTTATTCCAGTTGGAACCCCAACTCTTCATTCCCGTGGAGGTGCTAATGAAGAATGAGGTGACTGGGAGAAGGCAGATCTCTGAGCACGGGACAAAGAGCAGGACAGGCTGCTGAAGGGCTGGGATGGAGGAGTTAACATTTACTTTCAGGAACATGTATTTAAAGCCTGATGCCTTTATGTCACAAACTTCCAGCTGCCTGTGTGTCTCTACCTCTACCCGAATCCCTGCTATTATCTCATTTGTAAGTGAAGGGGCAATAAGAGTAACTTTAGGATGACTGGGAGTTACAGAAGATAGGAAGAAAAGGACACGTTTTATGACAACCTTGGAATTGCTTCCCTGTTGGATCTGCTTCTCACTTGCAGGAACCCAGAAGAAAAATTGGCCGGCAAGAAGGCACAGCTGGTGAGCTCAGGGACTGTACCTAATGTAGCTCATTGAATAGGGCTTGAGGAGCCATGAGGCCAGGTGCCCTCTGCTGGTTTCCCACTGCACTGGCCTCTCTGGCAGTAATTAAGTGGGCCCAGTGTCCCCCCAGCCAAATTTAGAAGGCTGTTGAAGCCAGAGGCAAGGGCATGTTATGCTGGGGCAGGTGGGGGTTTAGGGGCAACTGTGCAGATGGCAGAGAATCATTGAGAGCTGTAACTGTGGCTGCAGTGGCTGTGGGGGAAACCAGCCACAGTGCTTAGGAGGGACTCTCCTTCCTGGGTGATTAAACCACACACAGAGGAGCAATTGCTAAAGGATTTAGTGCTGGTTTGTAGTTTCCTGTCCTTGTGGCTCCAGCTGACTTCAAGGTGAATCATAGGGCAGCCAGCAGCGGTGACTGGGGTTCAAGCCAATCTTGGAGAAAACTAGACTCACAAACTGTGAATGTAGCTTGTCACAATGATGGTGCAATAAACTAAAAACTCTCTCCGGATTCTACGCAAGGAAGTGAAAAAATGCTTCGGGAGCATGTGGATGCCAAGCACCCTACAGAACCTTACCTGTTAGTCTCACAAAACATGAAGGAAATGATTGATCCCCAGAGCCTAGACCCGTAGTCGGCAAACCTCGGCTCTCGAACCACATGCAGCTCTTTGGCCCCTTGAGTGTGGCCACGAAGTTTCTATCGCACTGTACGTGCGCGCCCGCACGTGGTATTTTGTGGAAGAGCCACACTCAAGGGGCCGCAGTTTGCCGACCACTGGCCTAGACCATGGTTCTCAAACTAGAGCCCACCCCAGAATCCCCTGCAGGGCTGTTAAAACACTGACTTGGGGTCCCACCCAGAGTTTCTGACTCAGGAGGTCTGGAGTAGGATCCAAGAATTTGCATTTCTAACAAGTTCCCAGTTGAGGCTGGTCTTATTAATCAAGGATGTTTCTCACTGGAAGAAATACTATGCAAAGGAAAGGGCAGTAGTTTACTAGTAACTGGTGCCTTAGGTAGGGCTGCAAGCAAATAAGATCTCCCAAAATTTTAGTGTCTACAAACACAATTATATCGCCTGAAGCCACTGATTTTATAAAAGGCAGAGGACTTCAGTTTTAACAAAGACCTAGCTCTCTAAAGTATGCCCTACCCACCTCGTTGTGAACATACCTGAAGAGAGTTGTGGTTGTGTCTGCCTGATGTTGTTACTTTTATGGATTTTGCAATGTTTGTGTTGTCAGCATTTTAAACCCGTAATCTCATCTGATATTGAAATTTCATTTATGTATCTGGAAAGGAAACCAGTTTTCAAGAAAGGAAGGGGCAAGAGTATAAGTAGGGAGACTCAGAGACATCTGGCAGGTAAAAAGAAGAAAGGTATGGGAGGGTTTGGCAAGTGGGGCTGGTGATGTTGAGATCATCAGTATAAGGGTCAGCCTTTCATAAACAGGAATGTTTGTTCTCTGGGGCAGGAGAAAAGGAGTGAGAGATTAAATATGCAAATAGACTGTAGCCAGATGATATATAAAAATACAACTCTGACCCACAACCTGCAGCAACCTGTCCAGGAAACTAACCCCCTCATCTACAATATAAGTGGCCCGGGAAGCCAGCCTGCTATAAGTCAGATTTGTGAGAAGTCAGACTGCTACCTCCAGTAACAATTCCAAAAGCTAACCAACAACTTCTGTAACAATCAGACCCAAATGGTCAAGAATTAATATCTGACGACTTTCCTAATTTTTGTCTCTACTTCCAATTTAGGATCAACCAGAGAAAGCCTACAGCTCAAAATGATTTTTCTGTTAAAGAGGCATATCTGGGGATGACATACTCTGGTTTCCTTAAGGAGACTCTTATTTCATTTTACAGATGAGGAAACTGAGGCACAAAGTGAAGTTGGAGTGAATATGTAGCCTGAAATCCTTAAGAGATTTTTTTTTCTAAATTCTCCTATTCTTAAACTTGTTTCCCTTTTACTGGGGGTATTTACAAACAGAAAGAAACAAAGTTTAAGATCCTTTACAGGAGCTTACCTTCTTATTGAATTTATTGGAGTGGCATTGGTTAATAAAATTATATAGATTTCAGGTATACAATTCTTCAATACATCATCTGTATACTGTATTGTGTGTTCACCACCCCCAGTCTCCTCCCATCACCAATCACCTCCCTTTACTCTCTCTACCTCCTCCTATCCCCTCCCCCCTTTTATAAAACCTCCTAAGGATACTCCATTTAAGCTGCTCATCCAAAGTGCAACACTGTCTCCGCATCACACCACCACCCTTTAACGCATAACACAACATTGTGTTCAAAATCAACAAGTTCCTCTTTAAACACACCCAGCGCAGAGGTGAAGAGAAAGGATCTACCCTACAGGAGACACACACACAAGAAACCATCTGAGAGCCACGTTAGCGGGCAGGCGTGCACAGCTGCCGCCCTCTGAACGGGAGGAGGACGGTAACAGAAAAGCCTCCTGAGGGATGGTCCCAGCAGTGAGTCTGGAAGGCAGAGGGATGTGCAGCTCGCCAGACAGATAGACAAATAATTTCCAGGACTGGCATGTAGAGAGCAAAGGCATGACAGAGCGTATGAAATCTGGGGGGGCTCCAAGTAGCCATCCGGGGTTGTTTAAAGGCGGGGGATGTGGTGTTAAAAGATAGTAACCCTCCCCCGTCAAAAAAAAAAAAAAAGATAAAATTATGATTCTATAGATCTAAACATGGACAAGTTAAAGATTCTCTCTTTCCCGAGGGGTCCTAACCGGTTTGGCTCAGTGGATAGAGCATCGGCCTGCGGGCTGAAAGGTCCCAGGTTCGATTCCGGTCAAGGGCATGTACGTTGGTTTCGGGCACATCCCCAGTCGGGGGCGTGCAGGAGGCAGCTGATTGATGTTTCTAACTCTATCCCCCTCCCTTCCTCTCTGTAAAAAAATCAATAAAAAGATATTTTTTTAAAAAAAATAAAGATTCTCTCTCATCAGGCAGATTTTATAACCACCGATTTAAAGGATCAGTCCAAAGAACAGACACACGTCTAGCTCGGGAATATTGAAACGAACGTGCAGATGGATGCAACGCCGGCTTCTTTCCCGGTGAGAGTGGGACGCCAACGGAGCTCCCGCAGGACCGCCTCTGCGTGTGCCGAGACCCTTACTTTGCATGGCTACCCCGTGCCAACAGGGCCCACAGACGCAGACTCAGGTCGTGCAAAAGAGTGACTCCTGCGCACGGTGTTCCACCGAGGCCCATCCCCTAAAACGGCAGTAAGACAACATTAAACCCTCAGGTACCACCCCACAAAGAGCTGTAAATACCACGCCAAAGAGTTCAGACTTTGTGTCAGCTTCAGCGTTTGGGCGAAGGAGGTTCTTGAGGGTCAGGCTGGGCAGTGCCAGGACCTCCTGGCGGCAGGTGGACGCTTGCCTGACATAACGCAAGGACGGAGGCCCAAGTACAACTTGGGGGGCCGATGCAGCCCGTCAGCCGAGAGCCAGCGCCACGGCCAAGGGGAAGAGTGGCTGACAAACAGAGTAGGGTCAGGCAGAGCTCACGTGCATGCGGGGTGTCCCCGGCTCCCCTGGGTGGTGGCGCGCTGCCGTGAGGAAAGACGCCCGTTTTGCACGTCCGGAGTTTGAGGTGGCCACCGGACATCCGAGTGAGCACATCCGGGATGGCAGATGGAAAAGGACCCCTGAGACCTGAGGTGTAGTTGGCAGCCCCCCGCAGACAGCGCTCTGTGAGGAGCTCCGAACGGTTCCGAAAGGTTGCGGCCTAGAGGAAGGCGCCGCGGAAACTTCGAGAGAAGCCTGACAGGGCGCGCAGCTCTGCCGCACGTTGCTGCCTCACGCGCCCGCCCAGTCTGCCTCGCTGCCCACTTCCGCTTCC